ACACATCCCTGTCTAACTCCTCTACATATCCTAATCCTACATAGCCTAATTTCATTAGGCGCAGTTAAAATTATTTGCGATAGAATAGACTAAAATAGATAAATATAAAGTTGAGAAATTAGTACAAACATTAATAAAAAGAAAAGAAAATTTATATATATATATATATATATATATATATATATATATATATATATATATATACATACACATATTTTTATCCATAAACATATACAATTAACATGGGTCACTCGCTTCATGTCCAGGGGCCCATTAGGACATTATAATATATACATACACGGGAAAACTAGGCCACGGTAAATATGATTAAACATATAAAGGAGAGAAAACAAAGGTAAAAAGTAGAAACAATTTTTTTTTAACTAAAGAAAAATATTACATTTTGTCAAAAAATCGATTATGCAATCATAAATTAATCTATTTTGGGTGGTTAGGGCAGATAAAACGTTAAACGGAGATTTACGGGTAATATGAACAATATTATTATATAAAAGGGTGGATTCCAAATTATATTTGGCACAACCAAAAAGTACATGATCTAGGTCGCCTTCTACTCCACATTCCACACAGTTTTTACTCTCAATTACATGAATTCTTGCAAGATGGGCAGGAAAACAAGCATGTCCAAATTTTAGCCTAGATATAGTGGTTATATAACGCCTAGGGACATTATAAGTTCTATGCTAATGTGCAACAGGAACAGTTGTGTGTAAAGAAGTGTATCTATTTGGGTTGGTAAAACAAAACTCAGACCATAGATCACTCCATTTATATTTCAAGACTGCCTTGCGTGTAGCAACCAAATCAGAAATACTGGGTAGATATTCTGTGGTATCCACTGAATAAATACTTAATTTGGCTAGTTGGTCAACATGTTCATTATGTTTATTTCCACTTTGTGCTTTGGCCCATATAAATATCACTTTTTTTTAGTTTCCGAGGTTACACTCTCTGTAAATTCACTTGTTTATTTAAACAAAATACCAGCTTACCCTACATCACACAATATCCTATCAAAGCAGGTCAAAAAATTTCCTAATGGCGACTCCCGAGTCGATAGTCTATATAAATAAGTTAGATGTTTGTTTGTAAACATATGTATTGTTTTATAAAAAAATATGTAAATTTAAATGTAAATGTGTCAAGTGCCACATGATAAATAAATAAATAAGAAATAGGTAAAGAAATAATAAATCAGACTTACTCACAATCAATTTAATTTAACTATCCGACGACCGGTTTCGCTTTCTACAATATGCAAAGCATCTTCAGGTCTCGGTACAAAGTTAAACAAATGCTGAAATGATAAAAACCCATATTAGGGTGTTGTCTAATAAAGATAAACAAATTAGATGTTATAAATTACAATAATTATGCCAATATTACCTGTCTGTGGTTTTTATTTAAATGATTGAGTTGAATAAAAGGTATAAATATTTTTTTAAAAAGTTAAAAGGACAAGGTAAGGCCCACAAGTTGTCATAAAATCTCTTCTATTGGAATAAATTAATGAATGAGCAAATAAATAAATAAATAAAATAAAATTACTTACATGCCGGTACTCTATTAATAGATGGATGGTAGAACATGTTTGAAACTACTGTATATTGTTGAATGGAGAACTCAATACTATTATTGCAGTTGTTTGACAGTAAACGGGAAGTTCTTGAAGAGGTAGATTTGATCCAATGAATTTGAGATGTGTGTGAGATTGTTTGTTAAATGTAAGTGGTGTAATATATTATTGTGTTATTAAAAGTTATTTATACTTATTCCAGAGATATATTTTTGAAATGTGTGTTATTTAAATTGTTTTATGAAGGTGACATTTATGACAATGAATAAGTGTTGATGTAAAATTGTGTGGGTGTGCAATTATTTCCAAACTTGTAGTTATCAAATTACTTTGATAAAGTTCTATTGGCAATGTGTTAATTATTGGAATGGTCAAGAGAATAAAATGGTAAAAATGGTAAAATACAAACACTTAAGGATAATTTAAACACACTAAAAACAGAAAACACTTAGAAGGGACGAAACAAACATTGAATTTAAAATGGGAAGGACTTTAAAGTACTACATCATATTCTTTGGCACAATGAGTTTTTTGTTGTTGTGTCTATTAGATTTTAGTGGTAAATTTTTGACAGATGTAGGTTAGCATGTGACAGTTCTTCTTCTGTTTCTCAATACTGTAAGTTAAGTTATCTAGTTTCATAAAATATGCTGTTATTAATAATGAATGTCTATAAGCCTGTTTCATTTTAGATATATCAAAAGTAAATTGATGTGTTTAATATTGGCATACTTTAACAATCTTTAATTAATCAAATTTAGTGTAAAAATATGGTTAATTGAAATACATCCTACAAAATAACTAACAAGTCTAATGTTTAACTTAATGATCCATTTAAAATAAATTCTCTGGTAACTGAACATGTACATTTAATAATCAAATGTATAATAAGTTTGCAAAGTTTTTTATTTTTAATTTGAAATTGATATAGGTATGAGTTATCTGTCCGGGTATTTTTTAATTATTAAGAGATATTTTTCAAAATCTGATATATTAATATCTAGTATACTAATATGTATCCAAAGTAACAAATGGATAATTATTGTTGGTAAATAATTTGTGAGTTCAAGAAATTGACTGAATTATAAAGCCTTCAATAATTAGTTGGTAGTATTAATATCCGACAGTTGGGACCGGAAATTGTTATACGAACAGGTAGAATGATCGTCTATTTAAACCGGTATCAGGTAAATTTATTCTTATTTCAATTTTCAGTGTCATACGAACAGATATACCTCACACCTACATGGACAATGGTGAGTTTGTATAATTGTTTTAAGTAACACTATAAAAAATTTTTTCTCATTAATAGCTGTTTGTGAAAATTAATATTTCTATTTGAAATGTAAATTTGTGTATAATTGTAATTAGTAAAGATGTATTCAATTAATATAGCTAGTCTGAACGATTAACATATTATTTTTGATGATAATCAAAACACGTGTTGAGTTTGAAATCATATTTTTGTTAGATTAGTATATTTCGGAACCAGATGGAATGTAATAATAATTGTGGGTTAAATAAGTTGAGGTACCATACCAGTTCAATACTGATATTTAATGTAGTGTTAGGAAATTATTTCGGTAGTATGTTAAAATGTTCAAGAAATTCTTTGAACCAAGAACTAGATCCAAGAGGCCTACTTTTATTTTAAGATAGAAGATTGGATTGATCTAAGAGGTGTATCAAATGCATCTTATTATATATGGAATTCTGAAATAAATGTTGTTTTGACCATAATATTGAAGTTACTTCTGAAAAAATGCAATGATTAGTATAATATATGGGAACTAATATGAAAGTTGAAGTTTGTGGCAACAATTCTATAAGTTTGCTGTAAGAACAAGAAATGGAGTGGTGTCAGGTAATGATATGTATTTAAATTTATTTATATTAATACTGAGTATACTGGTGTGTATTCTAGTTCTAATTGTGCATTTAGTGTAACTTCTGTATGATTTTTTAATGATTTTAGAATTTCTAAATGTTCTAGGTTATTTAGTAAGGAGCCTTTATTGCAAGTATGAAGGATTTTGAAATCTGTTTGTGGATCAAAGACATGGTTTGTTCGATGGATATGTTGGGAGAAATGTGATTGACCTGATGTTGGGCGTTCTATATATCTAAGATGTTCTCTTAGTCTGATGTTGAAGGATCTAAAGGTTCTACCGATGTAACATGCATTGCAGGTATGGCAGCTCAACTTATACACTCCGCTATACTCAAGTGAGTTACGTTTGTCCTTGTTATTCAAGAAAGTCAGTCCTAAATTTGAGGCAGTTTTAAATGAGATATTTATATAGTCATCAAAGACTTTAGCAATCTTATAGGAAAGTTCACCTATATATGTTAATGAACGATAAGGTTTTTGTTCCATTATTTCATTAGAATGTTGTGTATATACTTGGTGTTCAAGCATCCTATTTGTTTTTTTTTTTTTTTTTTTTTTTATTATATACAATAATATATTACACCACTTACATTTAACAAACAATCTCACACACATCTCAAATTCATTGGATCAAATCTACCTCCTCAAGAACTTCCCGTTTACTGTCAAACAACTGCAATAATAGTATTGAGTTCTCCATTCAACAATATACAGTAGTTTCAAACATGTTCTACCATCCATCTATTAATAGAGTACCGGCATGTAAGTAATTTTATTTTATTTCATTTATTTATTTGCTCATTCATTAATTTATTCCAATAGAAGAGATTTTATGACAACTTTTGGGCCTTACCTTGTCCTTTTAACTTTTTAAAAAAATATTTATACCTTTTATTCAACTCAATCATTTAAATAAAACCACAGACAGGTAATATTGGCATAATTATTGTAATTTATAACATCTAATTTGTTTATCTTTATTAGACAACACCCTAATATGGGTTTTTATCATTTCAGCATTTGTTTAACTTTGTACCGAGACCTGAAGATGCTTTGCATATTGTAGAAAGCGAAACCGGTCGTCGGATAGTTAAATTAAATTGATTGTGAGTAAGTCTGATTTATTATTTCTTTACCTATTTGAAATGGACTCACACAAGCAACAAATTCATGATTTAAATAAATAAGACTTCTATACTCTTCATTTTTCTTCGTGTACAAATTAAACCAATGATTTCTTTTTTTTGACTTGGTTTTGCCCAATAATTCAACCAAAGTTTCCTCTTATTCTAACACCTAACATCTAATAAGTTAGAGCAGTGTCTTGCATCGATGGTTATATGATCTATTTGGTTAATCGTTTTATGTTTTATCAGATTTCCAAGTTCCCGTATGTATATCTTAAAAGTTCTATTATGGTTAATCTAATTTCTAAAATTTTTGAAACCGTACCTGTGCTTTACTTTTGATATGATAATTATATTTAAAATGGGATTAACTGTAATATTACAGTAATAATAGGTACAAACTCATACAACTTGTAACGTTGATATCGATGGAGAAGATTAAACATTTTGAAGAACTAATCAGGGACTATATTGGTCCCAACAAAAGTGTGGTGGATACAAAAGTAAGCAATTTAACGGCACCTGGAGAAAACTATTTAAGTGAGATAATTAAAATTGATGTAGTATTACAAGACAAAGATACTAATCACCATGAAGATTTATCATTAGTGGCAAAATTATGTGTCGAAAATGAATTTTTTGGCCCCACATATAATTTGACGAAAAATGAATTGATTTTTTATACAGATATTGTTCCTCCTATAAAAAATTTTCATAAAGAACATGGTTTACCGCCACCCTCGTTTTATCCAGATTATGCGGGAGGTAGATTAAATTTGACAGGAGAAACAGAAAAGCCTGATATGGATGCTATTCTTATCCTGGAAAATTTAGTACCGAAAGGTAAGATAAAAAAATATATTAATTATCATTTGGCAGTGCTTGTTTCCTCGTTTTGCCACAATGTCATTGGTACAACATTTATTAGTTTTTTTTTTTGTATATTTTAAAGTCTTTTTGATGTTATGGATTTCCCACATTTCTAGGTGACTTCTAAAGTTCCAGTATGTAGAAATTATTTATATTGTGGCATACCTAAAAGAATATACTTAGACTGTACTAATTTCCTGTTTTCATTATAGATGAAGGAAGAGAAAATCATATTTCATTATAAATGAGAAAAAGAAAAATCCAAGGTTTTTAAATCTTGTATAAAGATAAAGGCTTAACCAAAAAATTGACTAAGTCAAGTAAAACCGTGTACGTGAAATTTACTGAGACCTTTAATAAATTAAAACAATTATCTGAGTTTCGACATGAAACATATAAATTCAATTAATATGAAATTAAGAAATTATTCTTGGAGTATACAAAAAGCATGATATTAAAATAAAATAGTTTAATTTTTGGTTGTTGTATAGATTTTATTAAAGGAGACTTCAAATTGGCTGCTTCTCTCTCTTGTCGTTTCCTCATTGCTGAGGATCGTGATTCCCTACAATGCGGGCTGTCAATTCTCTCCATCTCTTGCGATTTTGGGCTGCTCTCATGGACTCGGAAAACGTCTTTCCAGTGGCTTTCTGTACTTGATCTGACCATCGTGATAGGTGAGCGTCCTCGGCCTCTACATCCTTCTACGTTTCCGCACACAATTAGTCTTTCTAAGTTGTCATTGTCTCTTCTCGCAATGTGGCCAAAAAACTTTAAAACATTTGCAAGACACTGAGAGGAGAGTCTGGTCTGAATGTTTAGCTCTTCGAGAATCGACTGATTGGATCTGTGCTCCGTCCACGAGACGCGTAGCATTCGTCTCCAGCACCACATTTCGAATGCGTCAATCCTTTTCCTATCCTCTGATTTTATTGTCCATGTTTCGGCACCGTAACTAAAGATTGAAAAAACGAGTGTCCGTACCAGTCTCATTTTGAGTTTTTTGGACAAAGAGCGGTCCTTCCATATTTTTGACAGTCGACTCATCGCGTTCTTGGCCATTCCTATTCTTCTGCGAATTTCCGTATGGCAGGAGGCTGCATTGCTTAAGGAAGATCCTAGATACGTGAACTCGTCTACTCTCTCGAATTGATTTAGGGCGCCTGTTGTTTGGAGGATATTCGCGTGGTCCACAATCATGATTTTTGTTTTCTGATTATTAATCTTGACCCCACACTTGTTGCTTTCGGTTTCTACTCTCTTTATCAGTCTCGACATCTCCTCTTCAGATGTTGCTATCAGTGTTGTATCGTCTGCGAATCTTAAGTTTGAGATCTTTTTCCCTGCAATGGAGATGCCGCCTCTCCATCCATCGAGTGCGTTCCTCATTATGTATTCTCCATATAAATTGAACAGGTCTGGAGATAGTATGCAGCCTTGTCGTACACCTCTGCTGGTTTTGAAGGTATCAGATTGCTGGTTTTCAATTCTTATTTTAACTGAGTTATCTTCGTATAAGTTTTTGATTAATATTGCCAAATGATCTGGAACTCCCATCTCATGAAGAACTGTCCAGAGAACTTCCCACTTTACACAATCAAATGCCTTTTGGTAGTCTAGAAAACAGATTATTATTGGAATTTTAAATTCGCGGGCCTTTTCTATGAGCTGCCGCATATTAAGGATTTGCTCTCTCGTACCCTTCCCTTTGACAAAGCCTGCTTGTTCTTGGGGAATTTGGTTGTCTAAGTACTGTTGCAAACGGCGTTTAATGATTCTTAGTAATATTTTGCTTGGATGGGAAATCAGTGAGATGGTACGATAATTACTACACTTTGTAGTTGTTCCTTTTTTATGGATTGGTATGCACAATGATGTGCGCCATTCTCTGGGCCACTTTCCGCATCTCCAAATTTTATTACAAAGTTTCCACATTATGTAACATCCTTTGTCTGCTTGGCTGCTTATTAACTATTAAAATTTTATTATATCTTGCCGGGTTACTTATACAGGGTGTTTCAAAAAAAGGTAACCCCGTCTCTAGGGTAGGTAAAAAACTGAAAAATAATTGGGGTTGGCTTAGTAAAAAATTTTTGTAACGCCATCCGTTTTCAAGATACAGGGCGTTGAAGAAAAAAAAATTACGCATTTCTTACGATTTTGCCGAAACTACTGGCAACATTGTAATGAAATTTTATACGAATATGTTTTGGAAGCTGATACATCTCATGAATTTGTTTTTATATCTGATTCTCATAGAGGGCGCTAGTTACACGGATCATACTAAGTATTAGTCATTATAACTTTTTTAAGAGTATAATTATTAATCAAAATTTCAAGTAAACTTAAACATCATTCAATTTTACACGAAAAAGGTACTCTTGGTAAAACTCGATACTGTGTACCGTTTTCGGAATATTTTGATTTAAAAATTATGAAGTAATAATTGATGCTGGTAGTAATCATAAAGTTCTAATAGAAATACCTCTATTTTCTCCAAGTGTGCCATAGAAATTTGACATTTATTGATTATTATGACGATAAATCAACAATAATTGGAGTTTTGCAACCTTGTTATTTGTAAAATCAAATCAAAATGTATCCAAATGTTGAATACACTGACATGTTATTAACCTTAGGCGAATGTTCTAGTGCAGTTGTGACACGTTAAGCAGAAAAGTTACCAAGTAAAAAAACATTTAGAGCCGTTGAACGATGTTGTCGAGAAACTGGGAATGTGAGACCAAATAAAATAAATTTTGGTAGACCAAGAACAACAAGAACAATTAATAAAGAAAATAATATTTTAAATTTACTTGACCAAGATCCAACAGTTAGCGAAAGGAATATAGCAAGACAAACAAATACTTCTTCAAGTACTTATCGGATACTGAAAGAACAGTAATTACATCCTTATCATTACAGACAAGTCCAAGAGCTCTTGCCAGATGATCTACCGGTTAGAGTGGATTTTTGTGAAACATTGCAACAAAGGACAGTCCACAATCCAAATTTTTTAAAATGCATTCTTTTTACGGACGAGGCCACTTTTACGCGACAAGGTATGTTTAACTCGGACTACGCAGTTTGTTCGTATATTAAGGAAAAAGTGTATGCTACAGAGGTAAATTCACGCCAAGAATTGGAAGAAAGAATTCAACGTCAATTTAATGACATCATAGATGATCCTTTACCGTTTAGAAGGTTAATGGAATCTTTAGAAAAAATAATAGACTTGTATATTCGCGAAAACGGAGGGCATTTTGAACACTTACTGTAATTGAATTTTATTTTATGTTCTTCTTCATTAATTTAATTTTCTTCTTGTGAATTTTGTTTAATTACTAACTATTTTATACCAGCATCAATTATTACTTCATAATTTTCAAATCAAAATATTTCGAAAACTGTACACAGTATCGAGTTTTACTAGGAGTACCTTTTTCGTGTAAAATTGAATGATGTTTAAGTTTACTTGAAATTTTGATTAATAATTATACTCTTAAAAAAGTTATAATGACTAATACTTAGTATGATCCGTGTAACTAGCGCCCTCTATGAGAATCAGATATAAAAACAAATTCATGAGATGTATCAGCTTCCAAAACATATTCGTATAAAATTTCATTACAATGTTGCCAGTAGTTTCGGCAAAATCGTAAGAAATGCGTAATTTTTTTTTCTTCAACGCCCTGTATCTTGAAAACGGATGGCGTTACAAAAATTTTTTACTAAGCCAACCCCAATTATTTTTAAGTTTTTTACCTACCCTAGAGACGGGGTTACCTTTTTTTGAAACACCCTGTAGACTTCACTAAGAAAAACCAAACCAATTTACATTCTTACACCCTTCGAATAAATACAAAAAACCAATATCCTTCAAATTTGGTACATCTTCATAAAATGCCACACTCATCATCATATGTTAAGAAATTAAAATTTCTATGGTAATAATGGTTTGTCTAACTATTAGGGCTTATAACAGACTATTGATGTTCAATTATTTTTTTCGGCCAACACTAAAACTAGGTAATAAATATCAAGCAAAGTAATTCCGTATAAACGCTTGTAAACCGTTTTGTAGCAACCTAACTCTTTTCGTCAGGAGAAATTCTTGTTATTTTTCTTTGCACCTGCGAATTAACGTTGCTTCCGCAATACCAAAAACTTAACTAGCTCTAAAATAATCCGTCTCTCCAGCTTTGACTATCCGGAGACCCATTTGCCGTTCGTAGGTTCGTACTTCTTTTGCCATATTATTATGGTAGAGTGGACAATTAGCTGTTGAGTGTCTAGCAATAATCCAAAACATATGCAAATTGCTAAAATATTTTATAGACCATGTGTGCTGGAGTCTGTAGTTTATTTCATAAGAATGAAAAACACTTTTAATTTATCTGAAACAGAACATACCGATGTTTATTATATTAGTTCCACTTTAGTATTGTTTTGAAGCTATTTTTTATGGTATTTTTAAGTAATTACTATTTTAACGAGAATAAGCCACAATTGAAGGTTAAAATAAGTTTATTGACGTTTCAATTTCCACTTCCGATTCTTTTAATAATTTAATTTTATCTGACTTATTTATATCGACAATTATTCAGACATACATTATATATTTGAAAGTAGATGACTTTAAAATTATATTGACAATATTGTTAAGTTCCGTTCCTGGGACGACTTTATTATAAAATAGTTCACTCGATTACATGCAATCAACTTTAACTTAAGTATATTCGCCATAAAAAAATGATAGTATGCAATTCGTATTTAAAAAAAAAACACATACCATGATGACAGTAAAATTCTCCTGTTAGTGATTCCATAGTCGATCATGAGAAAAAACCAGGAAAAAAAACTTCATATGACTATTTGGTAAGTATTTGGTCTTACATTTAGTCCACTATTTCAATAACGTCTGCTACTCCTGATCTTTTGCGTATAGTAGCATTGGGTATTCTATCACGAAG